TTCCAGTGGACATACCATGGCAAAGAAAATCCTCCGGGCAGGATATTTTTGGTCCACTATAGAAGCCGACTGTTATCAGCATTCTCGGACATGTCACAAGTGCCAAGTCTATGCTGATAAGGTGCACATACCTCCAGTACCTCTGAACGTCTTGACAGCTCTGTGGCCTTTTGCAATGTGGGGCATTGATATGATCGGTGAGATCAGACCTACGGCATCCAACGGGCATCGCTTCATCCTGGTAGCAATTGATTACTTTACGAAATGGGTTGAAGCATCTTCTTTTGCTACTGTAACCAAGAACGTCGTGGCACGATTCATTCGGCATAATCTGATTTGTCGATATGGTGTACCAGAGAGGATCATTACGGACAATGGTACCAATCTCAACAACAAGATGATCACCGAGCTCTGCGAGCAGTTCAAGATACAGCATCATAACTCTTCTCCCTACCGGCCGAAGATGAATGGGGCTGTCGAAGCAGCTAATAAGAACATTAAGAAGATTGTGCAGAAGATGACAGTGACATACAAAGACTGGCACAAGATGTTACCATTTGCTCTTCATGGGTACCGTACCTCAGCGCGAACGTCAACTGGGGCAACACCCTATTCCTTGGTATATGGTATGGAGGCTGTCTTTCCCATCGAAGTTCATATACCCTCTCTCCGAATCATGAAGGATGCAGGTTTGAGTGAAGATAACTGGATTCAGACCCGGCTTGATCAGTTAAACCTAATCGACGAAAAGAGACTTACTGCTATTTGTCATGGTCATACGTATCAAAAACGGATGATCAAGGCATTTAACAAGAAAGTTAGACGACAGGAATATCAAGTTGGGGACCTGGTTATCAAGCGCATCATATTACCTCAAGGTGATCCCAGGGGCAAATGGACCCCTACTTATGAAGGGCCATTTGTGGTTAAGAACATTTTCTCAGGAGGAGCTATGATTCTAACCACCATGGATGGTGACGACCTTCCTCACCCCGTCAATGCAGACATAGTGAAAAGATACTACGCATAATCAAAGACCCGCTAGGTTGACTGGCCTAGGCAAAAATAAGGGCTTCCGGACAAACCAAAAGGGTTCGGGCAAAAATAAGGGATGAAAATGGAAAAATCTGTACACCCGGCAAGTCGAAAACCTGAAAAGGCGGCTTGGGAAAAAAAGGGTATCCCGGTGGACTGAAAACCCGAAAGGGCAGTCCAGGCAAAAATTAGGGATCAAAGCGTAACACTATGTCTCATTGGATCACCTTGCATCCAGACTTCGGTATCAACTATTAAGCTCGGACGTCACTAATCAATCTGATCTACCTTCAACCAAGTAGCAAAGTGATGAGATGCTCGAGGACATAAAGGCAATAACAGAGTTGGAACCCAGTGGGATTGTTCACATAGCTGTTTTGTTTTGTTTTTCACAATTTGTGCAAATTCTATCTGCTCGTCGGCGTTCTCTTACTAGGACGTCAGCCTCTTGTAAAAAAATGCCTATTTACAGGCCAAACTTCAAAATCAATACAATTCATTTTCAAAGAAATTTCAAACTGTTCTTCTTTATCTGTTTTGTTTTGCAAAGAACGTCCAATGTTCATTTTTGATATATGCATTTGACATTAATTGTTGCTCATAAATATTTACATGCGAAACAAAAGACGATTACGGGTAATATCAGAAACAGGGGCAATAAAAATTGTCCAAACTGTATAGTTGCTTTGTCCACCAGGTACAAAGGTAGATTCAGCTGAACAATATGGCTAAGATACCTTCATTTCCCGCAGAGTAAGACAGTAATGGTAGCTCTCCCCCAGCTGGGACTTGCAACTATGAACGAATCAGCAATACTCTCCCCAAGCAGAGTTGATCTACCATTAGCACTAAAAAGGCTTGATATCCCCGACAGTCTTAATATTCCCTAGCGGAGTATAAGAATGTTCCCCGGCAGAATACAAGATACCCCCAGTAGAGTTAAAGTTTTCCCAGCGCAGTCTGAAAAAGCTTCCCCAACGGAGTTGAATCATCATCCCCAGTAGACTCTGGAAGTTTATCCCCAGCGGAGTACAAAAATAAATCTCCTCAGCCGAGTTCAAAGGATCATTCCCAGCAGAACTCAGAGGATTATCCCCACAAAAGTCTAACAGGTTACCCCCAGTGAAGTCGCCATTGAAAGATCATCCCCAGCGGAGTTCTTTCCTTTCACAAACAGGAATTCAATCCTCAACAGATTCAATATCACCAGCAACGATAATTCCTCCCGACAGAATTTATCAGTGGAATCCTCAGCAGAGCATCTCTTCTCCACAGAGTAATCCCCTCATCAGTTTACTTCCCCAACAGAGTTATCTTCTCCTGCAGGTTCATTCTCGCAATCACCTTCGTTCACCATCCCCAGCGGAAGCGAAGAATTCAACTCTTGTTTCCAGCAGCTATCCGGAATTTATTTTTCCCAGCTAGAAACATTACATTTCCATACATCATGATACATGCATATAGGCATCATACCACACAATCTCATTTATGTTGAGAGCATCATTACTTGATATATATCATGCATTTCATACATCATGACATCGCATATGACTGACTCTTTACCATTTCAGGGAAAAAAGAATCAGTAAACACCGTTGACTACTCATATGACTTGGTAGTCCCCTCAAAAGAAAAACTACACCTATGGAAGACTTTCGTCTGGTTCAGTTAAATCGATCCTAAGATTTTTCTGATTCTTATCCAGTCAAAGTTAATCCAAGACCTTCTCTAGTTCAATCAGATCGACGCTAAGATCTCCCTGATTCGTATTCCATTTGAAGATATTCCAAGACTTTCGTCTGGTTTAGTTAAATCGACCCTAAGATTTTTCTGATTCTTATCCAGTCAAAGTTAATCCAAGCCCTTCTCTAGTTCCGTCAGATCGACCCTAAGATCTCCCTGATTTGTATTCCAGTTGAAGATATTCCAAGACTTTCGTCTGGTTCAGTTAAATCGACCCTAAGATTTTTCTGATTCTTATCCAGTCAAAGTTAATCCAAGCCCTTCTCTGGTTCAGTCAGATCGACCCTAAGATCTCCCTGATTTGTATTCCAGTTGAAGATATTCCAAGACTTTCGTCTGGTTCAGTTAAATCGACCCTAAGATTTTTCTGATTCTTACCCAGTCAAAGTTAATCCAAGACCTTCTCTGGTTCAGTCAGATCGACCCTAAGATCTCCCTGATTCGTATTCCAGTTGAAGATATTCCAAGACTTTCGTTTGGTTCAGTTAAATCGACCCTAAGATTTTTCTGATTCTTATCCAGTCAAAGTTAATCCAAGACCTTCCCTGGTTCAGTCAGATCGACCCTAAGATTTATTGACTTTAAATGGACAATAAATGAGTACATGTAAGAACTAATATGAAAGTGAATTTGAAAGGATTCATTTTAGTCCTACATAGGAGGAAACACAAATATTAGTAGTGGTGTATATATATTCTAACTTGGCCAAATGGGTTGAACTCCAAAAGGTACACAATTTTATAAAGGAGTGATGACACACCACTAAGCCAACTAGACACATGCGTGTGCCACCGTCTGTCTGACTTACCGGCTCAGTTTGATTCCGTTCGGTCCGGTCAAGATGAATTACTTTTTTGAAATCAAAATTGGTGAAAATTAATTATTATTAATTACTTATTTCGGCAGAAATTAATTACTATTAATTAATTAAAAATAGTGGAAATCAAGTTTTAACCTGGTTTTTGATTTGATTTGTTTGCTCTCTACGAGTCAAACGTATGATTTGCTGACCAAGTGAAAAACAACTAGTTTTGACTAAGCTGATTTCACTCTCTAATTTTGAACGAGTTATTTTATCTTGAAAATATCGTCGAAATTCGATTGCATTGCATAATTATTAATAGTGCGACGAAACATTTTAAAGAGAACTAATAAATCTGTGACTCGACCCATAATTTTGTTTGTCACAATTTTTCAAAAACCAAAAACAATATTATGCATTACACATGGTCTTAGATACGCAATGAGTTTAAATAACGTGTACCCTCATCAATCTCTCGTCACATATACGCTACTTATTTATATGTAGTAACATCTTTCCAAATTCCCAGCACAGAAATAAAATCCGCGTATTTATATAAAAAAGAAAGTAACAAAGCCCGTGAACACGAATTTCTCCTTTTTGGTACAACAATGACCGTCCCTTTCTTAACAAAAGCTTAACAGCTAAACAAGCAAAAGTAGAAGAAAAAAATAGACTCGTTTGGTTGGCAGGTATAGACGAAGAAACAAAGTAGGTACAAAGTTAAAATTTCTGTCCATTAATAAGGTTAAGCGAGGATTGTCGAATGTCCACTACAATACACACCCGTGAGTCACCTTGCGTAATTTACAATATCTTTTTTTCACCTTCATCTTATCTCTTTCTCTTTAATACACACTAACCATGCACCAATTATAAAGCATAAAATAAAATATCAACAAAGAGACACAGTTGAGAGTTTAGTAGGTAAAAGATTGGTGTATGAAATTACGTTTCGGGAACGTGATTTCGTGACGGAACGCCTGCAATTAAAAAAACCTTAATAACTGGTTTTTTTTTATATTAATATCACAAAAAGGAAAAAAAAAAAGAGACAAGAAAAAGATGTCACGCACTTGCAACGGATATATACTCCACATCACATGTGAATGTAGATAAGCAATCAATCATATATTGCTATTGTTGCTTTTGCTTCCACTACTATCTCCACTCTCTCTCTGTCTGTCTTTCTTTATAGTTTTTGTCACAGTGCAATAATTCCTATAAACAGACAACCACTCACCGCTAATATATTAGCTTTTTTCACACTTTGGTGGAACAAAAGCTACAAAATCTATGCATTAAAAACTGCATTCATTAAAGTAGTTTTTTTCTTATCTTTATTATCTGATAATAATATCTATAATACTACCTATCTTCTCATTCCAAGATCTTGAGGGTGAGAAAAAAATATCCAACCATGGTGTTCTCCTTGGTCCTCTTAGTTCTGTTATTTAGTTTCAGCGACGCTTCTTCTTCCTTGAAGAGCACTTACATAGTGCACATGGCGAAATCTGAAATGCCAGAGAGTTACGAGCATCATACTGTATGGTATGAATCGTCTTTACAATCTGTTTCCGAGTCAGCTGAAATGATGTATACATATGAAAACGCGGTTCATGGATTCTCAACCAGATTAACTTCCGAAGAAGCTCGTTTGCTTGAGAGGCAAACGGGGATTCTCGCGGTGTTGCCGGAAGTGAAATACGAGCTTCACACGACAAGGACTCCTCAGTTTCTTGGTCTTGATAAAAGCGCAGAGATGTTTCCGGAATCAAGCTTAGCAAGCGAGGTTGTTGTCGGGGTTTTAGATACCGGTATTTGGCCCGAAAGCAAAAGCTTCGACGATACTGGATTTGGACCTATACCCACAACATGGAAAGGCGCGTGTGAAACAGGTACCAATTTCACAGCTTCGAACTGTAATAAAAAACTAATCGGAGCAAGGTTTTTCTCCAAGGGAGTTGAAGCCATGTTAGGTCCTATTGATGAAACCACAGAGTCCAAATCTCCGAGAGACGACGACGGGCATGGTACTCATACTTCAACTACTGCAGCAGGTTCGGTTGTCACCGGTGCTAGCCTCTTCGGTTACGCTGCAGGGACGGCGCGTGGGATGGCCACACGCGCTAGAGTTGCTGCATACAAGGTTTGTTGGAAAGGTGGTTGTTTTAGCTCCGACATATTAGCTGCTATTGATAAAGCTATTTCCGACGGTGTTAATGTTCTGTCTCTTTCTCTCGGTGGTGGAATGTCGGATTATTTTAGAGACAGTGTCGCTATAGGTTCTTTTGCGGCGATGGAGAAAGGGATTTTAATCTCTTGCTCCGCTGGAAATGCTGGTCCAAGTGCTTATTCTCTGTCTAATGTAGCTCCATGGATTACTACCGTGGGTGCTGGTACACTGGATCGTGACTTCCCTGCGTTAGTTAGTCTCGGTAACGGACTTAACTACTCCGGTGTTTCTCTTTATCGAGGAAACGCTTTACCGGATTCTCCATTACCGTTGATTTACGCAGGGAATGCTACTAATGCTACCAACGGGAATTTGTGTATGACCGGAACTTTATCACCGGAGTTAGTTGCTGGGAAGATTGTTTTTTGTGACCGTGGGATGAATGCCAGGGTTCAGAAAGGAGCTGTGGTGAAAGCCGCTGGAGGTTTAGGTATGGTTCTGGCCAACACCGCCGCAAACGGGGAGGAGCTTGTGGCTGACACACATCTATTACCAGCCACGGCGGTTGGTGAAAAAGCCGGCAATGCAATCAAGAAATACTTATTCTCCGACGCAAAACCAACGGTGAAGATCGTTTTCGAAGGAACAAAAGTGAATGTTCAGCCATCTCCGGTGGTGGCAGCTTTCAGTTCACGAGGTCCCAACTCAATCACACCGCAGATCTTGAAACCCGATCTTATTGCGCCAGGTGTCAACATCTTAGCGGGGTGGTCAAAGGCAGTGGGTCCCACCGGGTTACCAGTAGACGAGAGACGCGTTGATTTCAACATTATCTCTGGTACCTCCATGTCCTGTCCCCACGTGAGTGGTTTAGCTGCTTTGATTAAGTCGGCTCATCCTGAATGGAGCCCAGCCGCTGTTAGATCGGCTCTCATGACAACGGCTTACACGGCTTACAAGGACGGTAAAAACATACAAGACAGTGCTACTGGAAAACCTTCAACACCGTTTGATCATGGATCTGGACACGTGGACCCTATCGCTGCACTTGATCCTGGACTTGTTTATGATTTAACGGTGGAAGATTATTTAGGTTTTCTCTGTGCGTTAAACTATACATCCACTCAAATCACTGCTTTAGCGAAGAGAAAATTCGAGTGTGACGCGGGCAAAAAATACAGTGTGAATGATCTTAATTACCCATCATTTGCGGTTGTTTTTGACACCATGGGTGGGGCCAACGTTGTAAAGCACACGAGAATCCTTACCAACGTAGGACCCGCAGGAACATACAAGGCTTCAGTGATATCAGATTCAAAAACCGTGAAAATAACGGTTGAACCGGAGGAGTTAATTTTCAAGGAAAATGATAAGAAACCTTATACGGTGACGTTTGCGTCATTGGGTTCTACACCGCAGAAGTTGAATGGTTTTGGACGGTTGGAATGGAGGAATGAGAAGAACGTAGTTGGAAGCCCAATTTCGATTAGTTGGGGTTGATTTGATGATTGTAAAACAATAAAGGTTTTTTAGTAGTAGGTTGATTAAAGGTTCATCACTCACTCGAAGAGGGGTGTGTCTTTATTGGCTATTTAATATGTATTTTTAATTTTATTAAATATATATTTGAATTTGCAAACAAAAATCTTGTGTTTGGTTAAGATGGAGTTTAATGATAGCAGATGTTGGGCTATGTGTTTGGTTTGGTGGGTGGATGGATCTAGTTTGTTCCCTGAGGAAAGAGTGAGGGGAAAATGAAATTTTCCTTTTTTTTATTTCTGACTTAATTAGTGTTTTGGTCCTAAGTGGTTTTGAATCTAACTAAGACCCCCTGGTTGCAACAATGTTAGCTCTCCACTAATCCATTTCTATTGTTTAATTTTCAATTGTAATGCATGTATATATTGGATTTTAGTAGAATATTTATTGTAGTAATAACAAATTGTCTTTTTATATAGTGATGTTAAGTTTCGTTTAAAATATTAAATATAATTAAATAATAATTAAAATAATTTGTGTTCGAAAAAATTGTGTAGAATTTTTTTTACAAAGAAAATTTTTAAAATGGATTGTTGTTTGTTTAAAATATTAAATAATAATGTTAAATATAATTAATTATTAATTAAATAGTTAAGGTATATTTAACTATTAAATTTAATAAACTAATTAAATATTAAATAATTATTTTAATTAAATATTAAATAACTATTAAATAATTGATTATTTTAAATATTAAATAGTAAAACTACTAATTTAATTGTTAAAATAATATAAAATAAATATTTGACATATTTACTGCTAAATAATTATTTGCGTGTTATGAATAAATTTACACAAATTAAAATTCCTTCTATGAAATAAATATATATATTTTAAGTAAAATAATCTAAATAAATATTAAAAAATTCCATTGTTTGATATTTAACTTAATGAATATTATTCTTAAATAAAATGAATTTTTAAATAAAATGAATTTTTAAATAAATATATCCATGTTTAAATATATAAGTATGTAATATTAGTTTTAAATAAAATATATATTTATTATTGAAATAAAATATTATAAAAAATTATATTACTGAAAATGTATAAGTATTTTAAATAACAGTATTAATATATAAATAATATATAAATTTCTTATACATAATATATAAATAAATATAGCTTTTAAGTATTACTTAAATTTTTAAAATGGGTATTAACTTTAATATATAATACTTAAAATTTTAATATATAATTAAATAATTATTAAACAGTCATTAATAATGAACAGAAAATAAATAAATAAAATAGGCTTATATATATATATATATATATATATATATATATATATATATATATATATATATATATATATATATATATATATATATATATATATATATATATATATATATATATATATATATATATATATATATATTAAAAATGATGAATTTTTTTTATTAATAACTAAGTATTAAAATAATATTTCGCAAATAACCACGTTTTGGAAAAAAATATGCAAATAACCATGTTTCAGATGACTCCCCAAAGGAGGAGCCATCTGAAATGGCGCATGCACCTATATTTTAAGGGGAGGCGCCATCTCACTTGGCGCCTATGTGCTTAGGGCATGCCCTAAGCCAAGTGAGATGACGCCTAGGTGTATTTTTAGGGCAAAAATTGATTTATTTTTTTTTGTCCGGTGCGTTGCGTGTTTGACAGAGGATCAACAAAATGGACTTTTTATTATAAAAAAAATAATTACATCCAACTGTATTACATTAAAATAACAGATAAAAAAACAGATTAAAAAAATGAATAAAAAAATACAGAAAAAAAAAACAGATAAATCAGTGATCCCCCGGAACCCGGTAATGACCCCCGGTTCCGCATCCCCGTCCTCGCCTTTCTCGTGCTGGGTGTCGTCGCTTTTCCTGCTGCGGCAAGGTCGATGGCCCAGTGAAGTCAATGCGGTCCGGATCCATAAAATCAGTCAGATCTCCATATCTAGAAGATCTGCTTTGGTACAGTCGGTTACCCATACCCTCAAAGTTTGGTCGTGTTGGCGGTGGGTGGGGTTCCATAGTGGGTCTGTATCATTGATCGTCTGAGTACGGTGGGTAGAAAGGAAATGGATCTTGGGGTGTTTGGTATTGAGGATGTTGGGTGGTTTGGTGATATTGTGGTTGATGGTAGGCTGGGTCAGTTTGTTCGTAATCTTCCGACATTCCCATATCAGGGCTAAGGCTGGATGTTGAGGGGCCCATATTGGGATATGTGGAAGACTGAAATTGTGTATGGGGTATGCGGGTGTGCTGGTATTGGTATTGGTATTGTGGTTGGGTGTGAGGCATATCGGGGTATTGATAGTATGGTGGTGATTGTGGTTGGTTGTGTGGCATTTGAGTGTAATTGTATTGTGGTGGGGATTGTGGTTGGGTGTTTGTGGGTCTGTTTCTTCTTGGGGGTTGGTGGAAGGGTGATGGGTTTTGGGTTTGTTGATGGGGAAACGATGGTTGTGCCCATTGTGTGCGTGGGTCAACCAAGTACCTTGGATGAGACACGTGCATTTCAGGGTTACTAACCGACCTGTACCAAGACAAATATTGATCCGAGTGTCGCATATTACCTTGAATAAGGAAAACCGAGAATTGCAAGACATAGCGGTGACGCCTCTGCCACATCTTACACCACTCCGGAGCGAAGTCTTTCCAGTTGGTAAGACCCCACTGGGCGTCGACCCTTTTAAGATGCCATGGGGACAAACAAGTTGGATCACTTGGTATCTCTTGATGCATTCCGAACTGCATTTTTACACGGTCGTTGTGGTGCATCTCCACAATGTTGAACCGAATGATTGCAGTCTTCGCGGTCCAAGTTGCTGCATCCTCCGGGTTTAGATCATGGCCCAAACCCAAATATGGTCTCCAGACGAACTGCGATAAAATTTAAATCAGGTTAACGCAAAAGTAATGTATAAATAATTTAATTGAGCAAAAGTTAAAAGCTATGACGTACGTCATCCGGGCCTAAGTGATCCAACAGATTGCGGTAGAGTGCGACATTGAATCTTGGATTCTTGCCGTAATCCATACCCCTCACGCAGTACCTAAAGGAAATGAGAAACATTTTATTCTTAGCATATATTTGGTGAAGAGATGAATAGTTATAAATGCTATAACTTGATGACTTACTTTGTTGCGTACGGGAAACCGAAAGTGTTGTTGTTGACGGAGTTTAAGGACTCCATCCTCCACCAACCACAGGCTTGTAGTAAAAAAGCGCACCCATAAAATGTATATTTTTCCTTGACTGCGTTTTTGCACAAAGAACTGTATAGGTGGGCTAAAACTGCAGAACCCCAACTATATTTTCTTGTTTTTTCAAAATTTCTTAGTAAATATAAATACATAAAATTTACACTATTTCCCGTACTTTCGGGAAATAAAAATGTACCAAAAAGTATCATAAGATAAGTTCTGGCTTTTACTACCCTGTCATTCTCGGAAGAATTTTCATTTAATTCCAAACTTGCATAATGACTTTTCAGCTCAGTGAGTAGTATTCCCTGCCCTCTCGCACCACCACCTTCTACCATATCCCTGCCCAACAGTTCTTCACACTGAGAGTTGGGTTGTTGAACCGACCCGTTCACGGCCTTACCGTCGACAGGGAGACCTAGTAGCATGTACACATCCTCTAGCGTGATGGTACATTCACCTATTGGTAGGTGGAATGTATGGGTCTCCGGTCTCCATCTTTCCAACATTGCAAGAATGAACTTCGAGTCAATGGTGCAATTGGAGATCTTTATGACATGTCCAAAACCTGCGTATTCCAGATATGGGACGATAAATGGGTCGGGAGCCAGGTAGTTGTGCGAACGGATTCTGAATCTTTTTGTGTCCTGAGTTCATAATGTAACATGTGTAAGATTAATTAAGATGAACAACGCATTATTTGAAGTATGAAAAATGTATAACCAAAAAAGAAACTTACAAATGCGGCAATGTTTTCCCTTGTGCCTCTGTGAGTATCACCCATTGTTAGAAGAGCCATTGTTTAAAATGCTTGAGAGTATGAAAGACTTAGGAAGAGATAGAGAGTATGATAGACTTATGAAATATTTCGTAGCAGAGAGTGAGACTTGTGTGGGTGTGAGAGATGTATCATATGGTATGTATTTATAGGCAAATAAATTTGATATAATGGTTGCTTGTGCTTGCATGCCTGCGAAGTGTCACATTTGCAGGCTAGGTGGCAGCCTAGGGGGTTACACATATGAATGCATGTACAAAAAATGAAATGTGTCACTCTTGCAGGCTAGGTGGCAGCCCATGCATGTATCACGATTGGACAGTAAGGGAGGCGCCATTGGACTTGGCGAAAGAGTACAAAAATGAATGGTGTCGCCACCCCAATTGGCGAATAAGAGGTGTCCTTTGTTGCAGCCTAGGTTCAGGCTACGTGACAACCTTTGGGATTCCTTGCATTAGTGCATGTAAGTCCATTGGAGTTGATGGGAGGAGACTTACAAAATACATGTGTAGGTGCAGACTTGGGGCAGGCTAGGTGGCAGCCTAGGGGGTTACACATATGCATGCATGCATGTACAAAAAATGAAATGTGTCACTCTTGCAGGCTAGGTGGCAGCCCATGCATGTATCACGATTGGACAGTAAGGGAGGCGCCATTGGACTTGGCGAAAGAGTACAAAAATGAATGGTGTCGCCACCCCAATTGGCGAATAAGAGGTGTCCTTTGTTGCAGCCTAGGCTCAGGCTACGTGACAGCCTTTGAGATTCCTTGCATGTAACATTATTGGCAGCCTTGGGGGGGTTGCATCCTTACTTAATTGAAATTTTTAGCCTTACGTTTATCATAACATTGATTCACATAATCTGTCAAATCTTCCAACCTTCAAACGTTCTTGCAACCAAACCTTCAAACCTGCAAACAATCAAACATTCCAACCTTCGAATCACTCATAAAATTCAAACATCCCAACCTTCAAA